CGAGACCGCGTGGCCACACGTGGTTGCTTCACTCGTCGCACCTCCAGACCAGCGCAGCGCGCGCGCGCCCCTCCACGTGACCCTCCGCGTGACCCTCCACGTGACCCCTGCTCGCAGCCCGGACCGCGACTGCACAACGCGGCCGAGCAAAGGGAGGCGTTTGCCAGTGAAGAGGAGGAGGAGGGGATGTAAGCAAGGGCAGCGCGGCAGATATCCACTCGACAAACAAGACTGGCGGTGTTCTCATCCCCGTTGCAGGGAGAGAGATGGGCGGGGGGTAGAGACATCCGATCGATGTGCAATCAATTCGGCATGAAAGGCACGCACGCACGCACGTGGGTCGCACACACACGCACGTGGGTCGCACACACACGCACGTGGGTCGCACACACACGCACGTGGGTCGCACACACACGCACACAGCCACCGCATGTGACCATCACGTGACATTGTGTTTAAGAGCCTTACTATGTATCTGAGGAAAACAACAGCAAGAACAAAATCTCCCAACGCATTTTGTCAACAACACAGTGTGTCTTTGTGTGTCTGTGACCTCAAATGACAAATACATCCCTGTGACATGTGACGTGCTGGGCAATGGCTGCTCTGCATAGCACACGCACGTGCACACGTGTGCTATTGCGAACGGCCATTGTCTGAAACGTCGCCTATTATCAGCTTTATTTATTTATATTCAGGTCACAGTGCGATTGACGAACGTGTTGAGTGTTCTTGTTGTTGTTCAATGTGCACGTGCGTCACTGCCAACGCAACAGCAGAATCACCAGGCAATGTGTTATTACAATATCCACGACGGCGTTGCGAAGTGACTGCTTTGTTCGCTGCGAGGTGATATGAGCTGTTTGTCTTCTTTCTCATCAATGGGATGGGGGAGGGAATCAACAAATTACATTTTCTGAGTTGTAATTATATTATTATTGACCCAGGAAGGCCTCACCGAGTCCCAAGACTCGTTCTCAGGAGGGTCCTGCGACATTGGGACGTTGGCCAAATTATGTTTTGAGTGCGATACACAATACACATTTAGTCGACGTGATTCCGAATGTTGCGAAATAAGTTCCTGTCCATTGTTGCTGTTGTATTGTCTTCCGAGTTGGGACGATCCGTCGATTAAATCGATGACCAGACTGATTGTAATTGACTGAGATACACTCACACGGAGATGTACAGGAAACACACGGGCACCTTCAGACTCACACCGAGACCCACAGATTTACACAGAGACCCTCAGACTCACACAGAGACCCATAGACTCACACATAGACCCACAGAAAATAAATGACAATAATGTACCCCTCTGGCCTCTCTGTGTGCTGTGAAGAAGGTATTATTCGTTTGCTTTTAAGACCAGAGTGTTATTGAGGAATGTATCGAGGCTGTTATGTGCCCTCGTGTACCACTGGGAACACAGCAGCATCAACAAAACAAGCGATGTTTTGATTCGAATTGTGATGCTTGAGACAACCCCTGGCGTTTGGACGAGGAGGTGAACGGCCTTGAAGGTGGCTCACACGTGGAGCGAGCGGAGTTTACGGCGTTAAGGCGGTGGTAAACGTTAGAGCTGAAGAGCAAATTGCAAACAAACATGAACCGTGGCAAAGCGCCAAGGTGAGGGGTGAGTGCGAGGGTGAGTGGGCAGCTCTGCACACAGCCTCAGCCGTGAGCTCCCCTGGCAGGCGCGGCTGCGTTGGCTGGGTCACGGAGCCCGCGTGCCCAGCCACCGCGTGCCCAGCCACCGCGTGCCCAGCCACCGCGTGCCCAGCCACCGCGTGCCCAGCCACCGCGTGCCCAGCCACCGCGTGCCCAGCCACCGCGTGCCCAGCCACCGCGTGCCCAGCCACCGCGTGCCCAGCCACCGCGTGCCCAGCCACCGCGTGCCCAGCCACCGCGTGCCCAGCCACCGCGTGCCCAGCCACCGCGTGCCCAGCCACCGCGTGCCCAGCCACCGCGTGCCCAAACAGCCTCTGTCTGGCCGGATAGAGGGGGCTAACCGGGCGCGGCACGGGCTCGAGAGGAGACGGAGCTGATTGGGTACAGGAGGACGTGGAGCTGAGTGGATTTGCCGATGGCTGCTGCCATCGGTGTGCCTCTGAGGAGCAGGCTCGTGAAAGACGCTCCTGGGTAGTTGAAGGCAGTCGCCCTCTAACAACAGTTTAGGGTGGAGGAGCGACACTCACAACAACGAGTGGAGCGCCGGACGGTTAAAACGCAGCAAGTTGGCACAGTAGGGGAATACAAGTGGTTGAAGTGGTCCACCTGCCAGCCGTCTCAGTCAGTCAACACCAGCGTGCCTTCGACTCTTCACGTGGCCTCAAGGTGCACCTAGCCTGGCACAGGCGCCGCCACCGCCACTTAGGCTGTTGTCGGGATAGCACGAGTAGGTGGTGAGCGAGCTCCTCATGGCTCTGTCTCGCGTATCAGACAGTGAGGGCCGTTGCCGATATATGTGGCAGTCCGCCTGCATCGGTTTAAATCATTCTAACTGCTCATCAGACACAAAATAAGCACACCGACAAGGCCTTGTGGCTGATGGGATCTGTAAAAGAATTAGAATTACGTTATACTGTATTTCGATATTTTCATGCGGAGAAAGATATGTGTAAGGCGACGTCGCGTTCTGCTCGCGTATTTAGTTGGGGTGAGGGCGAGTGGATGGGAGGGAGCTCCTGGCTGGCTGGCTGGGGGAGTTATTGGCTGAGTGATCCACACTTCAAACTGCCCGCCCTCACCTCCCCAATGCATTTGTTCCGCTCTTTGATTCCGGTGTTTACGGCGCGTTGCAAGGCCGGCAGCAATGTAGCTGACTTGTAACACGCGCGGCTGGGCGGCGGTGCGTAATTGAGGGATTATGAACCAAGCCGCGCAACGAGGAGCCACGGGGGGTTCTAAACGGGACGCGCGAGTGAGTCCCCGGCGGAGGAGGATCAGGGAGAGGTGGATACCGATTTGAAAGAGATATCGAAATAGATAAATACATTTTTCGATTTAAAGCTTTCGTGACTGTAGGGATTCATCTTCTTGGTTCTTTCGGTAAAGTCACGTAGAAGGGAAGTAATAAAATAATAAAAATAAAACATAATACAATTATTCTCACGACGTTTCGGCCACAACGCAAGTAGCCGAAACGTTGTGAGAATAATTGTATTATGTTTTATTTTTATTATTTTATTACTTCCCTTCTACGCGACTTTACCGAAAGAACCAAGAAGAGATAAATACATGCTTCGAGATAAAAAGGGAAATGCCAACGTGGCCGAGGTAGAAGGCGTTACAGAGCGCGAGCACGGTGAGCGGGTGGAGCGAATGGGATGGGAAGCGGTCGAAGGGCGTTGCATTCTAAATCGAGCTGGGGTCATCGATTATTTAAGTCATGGGTTACTCGACCGATGATCATCAATTAGTCCGAGTAATCGACTCACGAGACCACACCAAGATGGTTGGGGGGCGAAATAAAAAGTCTCGCTTCGTTTTTTACGACGCGTGCCGCTGGACGGGAGGTGAAACGAGCAGGGCTTGGCCGTGTAATCTGCATAAGCAGTCGCGTTACGCTGAGCGTGGCATATTGGAGACAGGGGAGGGGGGTTTCCCGCCTTCAGGGTGCAGAATGTGTGGCCGGTTGCCATTTGTAATGGGACTCTGGCAATCGACGACCAAGGCGGTGAGTGGCCCGTCACTGCTTTTTTTGATCGACGAATCGACTTTGGTGACGAATTGTCCCAGCGCCGAGTCTGACCACGCGTGGCGCTCTGGCGGGGGGGGGGGGGGCACGCGCGCGCGGTGTTCGGGTCGGAGCTGTCGATTCAGGACGTTGGCCTCGTGCCAGCAGCCGCGTCGAGTCCGCGACGGGCGCGGCACGAAGCGGAGCTCGCCCGCCAGGAGAACGTCTCGCGCGTGGTTACGTTTAGAGCACCAAAAAATACAAAAGCCTCCGTACAAAGGCACAAAGGCAACTGACGACACGTAGCACCGCAGCTGGCCAAATGCAATTCCCAGATCTTGTATAATGTCATGGGGAACATCGCGGCTGCGACATACGTTGGACTAAGGATGTTGTTTTCGTGAGAACGATGCTCTGGTTGTTGTTGTTGTTGCGATGCTGTGCGCCAGCGCGGTTGTAATGGTGTGCGCGAGGGAGGAGGCTCCCTCTCTCGCGACTGGTTTACTGGCTTGTACCACCGCCACCGCAGCCGTTGTTGTTGTTGTGGTTGTTGTGGTTGTTGTGGTTGTTGTTGTTGTTCCCCTGGTTCCACCGCTTCTGCCGAACGCACGTGATGGTGAGACTCGGTGACTCCACGTGTCCCCGTCACTGTTCGCACTCACCACCCCCCCCCCCTTATTTAATTCATGTCGCACGTGTCCTTTAATTCGAATTACTTCATATGTAATTTGAGGGGTTGATTGTGGCTCAATAGCTACTGCGAGTCTGACTATTTATACGCCTTTTTGATAAAACTGGAGATTAGTAAACGTTGCAATAAATGTCTCATCAGGCCCCATGGTGTAAGCAAGTGCGGTCTCCAACTCCGATCGTCCACCCTGCGTCTCTCGCCTCTCTATGAATGTGCTACGCAGGAGGCCCAATGCCCGAAACGTCGCCTGTTATATATTTTTTTTAAATTACAAGGCGCCAGTGTCGTCGATGAATGAGCCGAGTTATGTTTTGTTTGAATAATGATTAAGGCGCGGCGCCGGCGTGAAGGCGAACGCAGGAGTGACACTCTCGTCTGGTCAAGGCCCCTCGTGTTGGCGGCGGAGTCTCTCATTCGTTTCTTCGCCGAATTTATTTTTGAGTTGCTGATGATTGATCGTCCGGGCCAAATAAACCCACCCACACAACATAGACAGGCGGAGGCTGGGGGGGGGGGGGGGCTATGTGGGGGGGGGGGGGGGTTATGGGGGATGCTACGCGGTGGGGGGGCTATAGGGGCGAAACAGTCACGCACGCGCACGCACGCGCATTCACGCGCGCGCGTGCACACGCGGGCGCTCCGGCGAGCGGAGCGGTGTGGAACTCGGAGCGCGCGAGGTAAAGCGTTGGCGCCGTGCGACCCCGCGTCGGAGTTTTTGGAGTGACCGGACGAAAATTTACGACGGAGAGAGAGAAGAGAGAGAAGGGCCCATTCATAATAAAGGGAACGGCCGAGCGAGGGAAGAGCACGGAAAGAAAGAGCGCCGCGCACACGGTGGTCGCGGTCTCCAGCCAACGATCGGCTGCTGCAAGCATCGTGTTAGATTATAAAATAAATATATAAAGGGTGCGTTACAATTACATAGTGTAAATAATATAGTGGTGACACACCTAGTATAAATGTAATTCTCGCCCAAGCACTGCACGCTATATATCGTCATATATACAAAGCAAGCCGTGTAGTTGGACGACAGACCGTGTGGTAAACGCGTCCGCGTGCGTCTGATGCAAATCTCTCGCACGTCGCGCGCGAGCTCCGCGCATCCAGCGGCAGCAGCAGCGGAGAGCGGCGCGGGTAGCCGGAGCCCTCGGCGCGGGAGGGGTGGGGGGGGGGGACCTCGAGAGGAACGATTCCAGCGGCGGTGTCGGTGGCGACGCACGGGGCACACGCCCCGCACAGCGCAGCAGCAGCGGCAGGAAGCATGGTGAGCGGATAACGAGTCGCTGCTAGCAGCAGCAGCAGCAGCAGCGGCATCAGCAGCAGCAGCGGCGGCATCAGCAGCAGCAGCGGCGGCATCAGCAGCAGCAGCAGCGGCGGCATCAGCAGCAGCTGCAAGCGGCAAAAGCGCAAGCGGAGAGAATATCGCATTCTTCGCCTGCAAAAGTGGATCCTCCTCTCTCCAGTTCTTCACCATCGTCGTCGTCGTCACCGTCGTCGTCGTCACCACCAGCCGGACGGCCTGCGAGGTGCGCAAAGCGAGGATTGCCTGCAGTCTGTCGCGACTCGTCACGACTGGGCGCCCTGACGGAGCGTCGCGACCCTTGCCCGAGAGAGGAGCGCGTGCCGCTGCGCGTGCCCGCGAGTGCGCGCGCGTCCGTGCGTCGCTGTCTGCGCGCCTGCCCGCGTGTGCGTGTGCTTGCGCGTGACTCTTGTTAGCACCGTCGGCGGCCAGAGTCAATCTACTGCTGGATGAATCTCTCCTAATCATTCCTCCTAGCTCCTACAACACGAGCTGACGTGTAGGTTCGCGTGCGCTGCGTCCACTGCGGTGGTATTCGGCCGGCGTATTGCACGCCCGGCGTCGGATATTTTCAGTGTATGCAGGGATTTAATGCGGACGTTTATGGGGATATTGATTGTTTGTAAATATGCGGCACGTAGAAACAGGATACACGGGGATTACGTCGAGCGAGGGCTAGAGGAACGCGCGGATTGGAGAACAAACGCAGGCGAAAGACGTGAGCCAAAACTGCGAAGGAAAGTCAAATTGGGCAGGGCGCGTCGCTAGGAGGGTGGCAGAATGAAGCAGCGGCAGCCGAGGAATGGAACGCGTCCGAGAGGACGTGAACCGAGGAGATGGAGCGGCGAAATCCGCTCGTGGTGCGCGGGTGCTGGGTTCATCCTCACGTCGCAGGGCCGTGGGAGATGGCTGTGGTTTGGGCGGACGCCTTCATCCAACAGTGGATTGAGAATGGCTGTTTATGTTGATGTAAATATGTAGCTGCGCATGAAGTGAGCGAATGCGTGTGGTGCACGTTCGTGGCGAGGGTTGATGGATCACGCAAATGCGTGGAACTCCCAAAAGGAACCCAGCAGAGCTTTTAGGTGGCCAGGAGATGGCAGTACAGCAAAGTGCGTTCAACGAATCAATGAATCTGGGTTCAATTAATCTGTGCGGAGCCTGGAGCGTTGTCATCCCCTGGGGTGCCGTGGCGTTGGGATTCCCGCGGGCTCGAAGGTTTCCTCCCAGGTGAAGCCAAAAGTCTCAATTCATGGGATCGGCCAAAACGATCCCAATGCAGGACTCTCCTGAAAATAGTCTTGAGGTTTTAACCTGAATAATCAGAGGAAATTATTATCAATGTTGTTATTATTATTATTATTCCAAAGTTGTAATGAAACCAAGGGCGCTGTTACGCTGGAGAGTAGAATACTGCGAGAAGCCGCACGCGCCTTCAACCCGATCGTGGCGGTGAGCGATGCGATCAGCCGGTCACGGACTCGTGCTTCACTAATTGGCTACATGTGTTGAACGTGAACTGGCAGAACTCAAGACGCGTGCATTAGCGGCGACTAGCTAACGAGCAACGTCTTTTGATGAGTATCCGCTTTGCAGAGTTTCGCACGACTAATATTAGGTAATTGTATGCGCACTGAGGGGCTCGTAATTAAAACTCACTGATGTGCTTCGTGCGTGCATTAGTAGAGCATCACTTAATAAGCAGGTGCAGACTTCATTTCATCCGAAACTGTCCCCCCCAATAACCCGTCCCCACTCCCCCCCCAATCCCCCCCACCTCCCCCCCAATCACCCCCCCCCCCCCATTTCCCCCCATCCCCCCCACTTCCCCCCCAATAACCCCCCCCCATTTCCCCCCATCTCCCCCACCTCCCCCCCAATAACCCCCCCCATTTCCCCCCATCCCCCTGACCTCCCCCCCAATAACCCCCCCCCCCCCATTTACCCCCATCCCCCCCACCTCCCCCCCAATAACCCCCCCCCCATTTCCCCCCATCCCCCCGACCCCCCCCCCAATAACCCCCCCTCCATTTCCCCCATCCCTCCCACCTCCCCCCAATCAACCCCCCCCACTTCCCCCCCAATCCCCCCCAATCCCCCCACCTCCCCCCCAATCCCCCCACTTCCCCCCCCCCACCTCCCTGTCGAGGGGAGGTGGGGGGGTGGCCCCGGGAGATATTCCATAATAATTGTGAATTATTTGTAATTCACTCGGTTGGCAGTGGTGCACAAAGAACAGACTCGTCACATCCGTCAATTACACTGTGGCCTTGGACATTTAAAAAAACAATATAGGCGACGTTTCGGGCAATGGTCCTCCACATCATATAGAGGCCAGAGAGGTGCAGGCGTTGCTCTATGCTCTCTGAAGAGGGGCCATTGCCTGAAACGTTGCATATAATGCAGTTTTATTGGCAAACGTGTGGTGTCTTTTATGATGATGATAATAAGTATGCCCTTACCCAGGCATGCCTTGCTTGGTGAGTCTCGAGGCTGCTTGTCAGTCGCGTGTGTCTGGTTGGGCTGTGTGGCCACTTTTTGCATCAACGAACCCGAACCTGCGGGTGATACTCAACAACCAAAACAACTCCGCACAGATGCACTCAAGAATCCATCGCTGCACTCCCGTCTCCGAGCCACCTCCGCCCCCCATTCCCGAGGCTGGGTGCCGCATGACGGGCTGCTGCTAATCCGGCTCAGCGGCGCTGCGCTTTGCTCCGGAGATCGGGCGTCGTGAACGCAGTTTCACTTCGGTCTGCGTTCCACACCGAAACGGTTCTCTCTCTCTCTCTTTCTCTCTCCCCTCCCTCTTTCTCTCTCTCTCTCTGTCCCCCCCCCTCTCTCTCCCCTCTCTCTCCAACCCCCCCCCCCTCTCTCTCTCTCTGCTCTCTCTGTCCCCCCCTCTCTCTCCCCTCTCTCTCTCTGTCCCCCCTCTCTCCCCCCTCTCTCTATCTCCTTGCTGCCCTGCAGATAATCGCGCTGGACCTATTAACGGAACGCAGCTAAATCGCGTTCACGGACGGGGACTCTCTCTGGAGTTGATGCACCGCATCGGACGCAAACATGGGATGTTCTCTAGAAGTGCTGCTGCTGCTGCTCCACACGAGCCTGCTGTTGGGCTCTGCAGGTGAGATTTGTTTGCATAGTCCACCTACGTCGCGCGCGCCTGTTGGTACAGCAGGACGTCACCCCACGACTCCGGTTTTCCGCGGGTGTTGTTGAGTTCTTCCTCCTACAATTATCCGTGACTGTTCGCGTCCCCCCACCTTGCGTTGTTGATTTCGGGACGACTTCCTTATTGTGTGCCGATAAGATGGAGTTGGAGCTTCAGAATCGTCCCATTATCTGCTATTTTTCAAAATAGTCGCGTTATCTGCTGATGAAGCCGCGGGTGACAGGATATGTCGCGTATGGGGGCTCTGCTATTTATATTACTTAAGTTTATAATGAAATAATTATAATATACATTTCTGAAAAATTTCCGTATAGCCTTTAACAGACTGTTGGTGCAAGTGCTGTTAGCGAACATTAATGAAGGCCGGCACGGCACACGATGGGGTGGGTGGCCAACACCACGCCCGGCCGCCTTTGTCTCCCCAGTTCTGATGTTTATACTACCGCATTATGTGTTCGTGCAAGGGTGAGTCGACCCAGGGGAGGCCAAGGTCGAGTTCAAATATTCGCCACTGATACTGCTTGTGAGCGGCAATTGAACTCTGTTCCCTGTGTTCGCAGACGCAGCGCGCTAACCACTGCACCACCGCTCCCCACTAACACTACAATTCACACGCGTTCTATGTAGGCTGGCTCGGACATTTTCACCAAATGTTGCGGGTTGCCCATCCTATTAGAACCGAGCACGTGACAATATTAAAATAGGTCATTATGTAACTGTGTACAGCACTGTATATATAGACACACACCCCAATGTCACATTACCCAGTGGGTAACTCTCGACAATTACAATTATTATTCATGGCATTAGAACGACCCAAACATCGCGCGTGTGTGCATGCTAGTCGTGTTGATGTGTGTGCATGCTAGTCGTGTTGATGTGTGTGCACTGTGCGTCGCTGTTAGCGCGGCCAACACCAGTGACAATTATCTGAACCGGTGCCTCGGTGAACTCGCCTCACATGAGTACCCGGTGCAATGTGTAAGCATCGCCATTGGGAGACAAAGGCGGTCGGTCATGGAGTAGCCCACCCACCCCCTCGTGTGCCGTGCCGGCCTTCATACGTGCTCGCGAACAGCACTTTCCCCAAACGTCCGTTAGGCCTTTACGGGGGATCTTTGTCTCTATATTTACATACCCGGGGTGAAATCGCTTCATGTGGAGGTGCTGGGTGGATTGTTGCATCCATCGCAGGATCGAGAAAGCTGGCAGCGACTTGAGGAGGCAATGGATTGACTGTTGACCAATCCAGCAGTGAGTTGATCAGGGTGATGTTGATTGGTTAATACGTCATATATATGTGTGTGTCGCTCGGTGATTGATTGCACGGCAATAACATTACAAGGACAATGCAGCCAGGTGTACATTCATAATTATCATCGCTCCGTGCCAGGCTGTTGTGCAGGAAAATGTTAAATCCATAATAACTCACAGCGCTTTGTTATTCCATCGCCGGTGAAGGAGATCTCCTCCATACTGCGCCAGCCATGACTATTCTTCACTGAGATGGTCAGAATGGGTTGACTGCTTCAGACATCGCTCGCCACTGACGTTAGCCGTGGCTGTGAATAGTAAATCGGGTTCACGGCGCCGTGTTGCAGCCACGTCGCCGCCGTTGGCCGTGGCCACGATTTGAAACTCGCACCCAAGGGCCCCGACGGTGAATGTGACAATTGTTGCCATCTTCACGGTTTGTACTCCCTGCTGTAATTCGGTGACGGTGGAATTGGCCATAGCCTCCTGTAGCCACGCATTACATATTCTTCAATAACACGCTGGCCTTAAAAGTAAAAATAGATTATATAGATGTTTCAGGCAATAGCCCTTCTTTATAGCACATCACAAAACCTCACTTACTTTATATATCTCTTTTTTATTTCCAGGCCACGGTGGTATTGACGAATGCGTTAATATAAAAATGTTGGTGCTTTTGCGCCATTGCCAATGCAGCAGCAGCATCAGCACCAAATTATATAAACATACGCACGGCGCAAATGGGTGCCATGCCGTGTGCAATGGGTCCTCGGGAGAGGCTGCAGCATTGAGCGCTCGAGTCGGAAGCGAGCGGCCACCACGAACTCCCTCCCCGGCATCTCGAGCCAAAATGTGCCGCAAATCCTCACGAGCTGTCGAGGGGCCATCATCAGTGGCGGATGCGCGCCCAGAAATACAAACAAACAAATACACAATCACACAAACACCGGGGTTCGAATCATTCCACGATACAACATTTATTGCGCATAAAAAAAATGTCTTCATTAAGTAATATGACGTATATAAAATGCATTGGGAATGATACGTAATTTATTTAGGATTTGTACGCGTGTGAAAAATCTCAAATGGCCCGTGGCATTTCTAACGGCTGTCCAAAACTGTCGAGTGATAACTCCCCCCCCCACACCCCCCCCCCACACACCCCCCCACACACCCCCCCACACACCCCCCCCACACACCCCCCTCCACACCCCCCCACACACCCCCCCACATCCGCCTCCTCCCCCGTCTACCTCCGGCTGGTTACACCTCTGCTCCACCGCACATGCTAATGTCGTATCATGGGGGCAAGCGTAGCTGAATTTCAAACAAGTGTCAGATTGCACATCTGGGTACATCTTTTAGTGTGGTCCCCTCTCTCCCCTCTCGCCCTCCCTCCCCTACCTGCCTACCTCCCTTCCTCTCCCCCTCCCTCCCTCCATCCACTCCCTCCCCCCCTCCCTCCATCCACTCCCTCCCCTCTCCCCCTCTCCCCCTCCCTCCCTCTTTTTAAAGTGCATTATATTAGCAGAGTCACGTGACGGCATATTTAACGTATTGCCATCTGCACGTGGCGACTGCAAGAGAATGACAACGGTCGTCGCGATATCACCGCCGTGTGAATGGCCGCTGGCCCATTGAGCAGTGAGCGCGGGTCCGTGTCTGCAGCGTGGACGTCTGCAGGTGACGGGGTTATCGGCACGGCTCCGCGTGATACTCGGTGTCGCAATGTCACGAAGCGCCGAGGCAGCCCTCCCCGCGCGTACGCGGCGACGCTCTGCGAGAATGCGGAATCGGGACTCTTTGTTCGGACCGTAGGAGTGGAGCTGTCCCATCGGACGCGTCGGTAATCCACGCATCGTGGGCGCGGCAGCATCCCGTGGCATGTCGGGCGGTGGGCACGCGAGCCGAGCGTTGGCAGCAGCGTTCAGACCGCGCGCGCGTCTGCCGACGGCGGCTGGATTACTAATAGAGCCCAGCAGGGCTCCCCCGAGTTGGGTGGGGGAGCGGGGGGGGGGCTGTTTGTTTGCAATATTCAAGTCGCGCGTCACGTTGGGTCCCGCTGTTAGGATTGTGAACGTCCCTCCCCCCCACCCCACACCATCCACGCGAGAAGCGCTCCGAGTGAGGCACGGCGAGCCGGCTGGAACTACAAAACGAGCGATTAGCTCCGAGTCTGTCGGTGCCCGAGGCATTCTCGCCGATTCCTTTGAGAGCCGCGACTCTGAGCGTGGCGGCGACACCTGTAATTGAACTGCAGTGCGAGGGGGAGCGGGGAGGGGGTAAACTTTGGGCCAATTCCTCCGCTGGGGTCCCAGCATTCGCAGCCCCACACCTTCCCCGCGTGGCCGCTGTTACATGATAGGGATTACTCGCTTGGGTAATTGTGGGCAAATTGGAGCGGGCGAATTCCACGTACCGCTGATAAATAAATACCCTCACTGCTATGAGAAGAGAGCGTGGGGCCGCCTCGTCGCAACCTGCACAGCTGCCACAACGAGAACACGAACAAACACGTACGTGGAGCGAGCCCGCGGTAGTAATCGGCGTATTTTAAATCTCTTGACTGCCACGAAGCGAAGCTCTGAATGAACGCGTGCGTTCTCGTAATGCGTGCGTTTGGCGTCGAAGCGGAAACGAATGCGTGGTCCACGCGTCACAGCGGAATTAGACACAAAACCACTCGACAAGGGTTCCGTGTCAACAACACTGTGGCCTTAAAATGAAAATGCATAGATATCGGTGACGTTTCAGGCAATGGCCCGTCTTGTCCCTTCTTCGTAGCACATATACACCAGTAGTGTAATAGAGACGGCAGCCGCGCACGCACGCACACACACACATGCACACACACACACGCACGTACGCACGCACACACACGCACGTACGCACGCACACACACGCACGTACGCACGCACACACATGCACGCACACACGCAAACACACGCACGCACACACACACGCACACACACACGCACGCATGCACAGACACACACACGCCCGGTGTGGATGTTCGCGCCACGCGCGCGTCCCGTGGCTGCCAGGGTGCCCGCACCACTGCTGCTGCTGGCAGTGAGCGAGTTGCTGGATTTCAGGCGGGTGGCGGTCGGGCGCAGGTGCTGCCTGTTGGGGGGGTGAGGTGCCCGGTGTTGGGGTGGGTTCGATGGGGGGGGGGGGGGGCTCTGCTGGAGTCCCCCGGTTCGGAGCCAGCCGGAGAGCGCGCGAGCGGCGGCTGCTCGGGCCGCGTGCGGCTGCGCCCGCTTTGGGTGTCCACGGCGGCACGGGGGGGTCACTAAACGCTCGCCGCAGCCGCGGGGGTCGTCACGGAGTCGAGGTGCGGAGGAGCGAGGGGATGGCATTGGTTTTGGCACCGTGCACGGTTGTGCTGTGATCACTTCCCATTTTTTTGCCGACGTATTGACTCTAGACTCACTCGTTAATTCACTATTTTATTTTACTTCTCTTTAATAGACTTGCCATTTTCCTGTAAAGGAACTATTTTTTGTTATACTCATATTAACAACTCCACACGCAATAAAGATTCAACCTGAATAATGCTATAATTAATCATGCATATCGTTTCAGCTCTGTGTTACTAACTGGCTTGGGGGTGGAAGGAAGGGTGGGGGAGTGGAAACGGTGGTTAGCGGGGAGTGATTTCTGCCAATTAGTGCAGATCCAGACGCGTGCAGCAGCCA